TATAGTGATTTTCAAATGTGGTATTGTATAGTGTTTAATCTATGTTTCAACTAAATTTCAAATTTATAAAACAATTTTCTTGGGATTTAGAAGAGACCTACAATGTTAGACATTTTATAAAAATACAATAAATAATTATTAAATTTGTTGAATAAAATGTGTTATATTTTAGAAACTATTTCTATGAAATCAAGAATAGAAAATTTGTTGTATAACATTGTGTATAAACCAAAAAAATATAATTTAAATATTGGCTGAAAACAATCTATAGTGATTATTAAATAACATATTTTACTTTGAATTAATGAAAAAAGTTGTTTTAGCAACGTTATTTGTCGTTGGCCAATTAAGTCTTGTTTACTTTTTATTTAAGCCAATTAACATAAAAAAATATTTTTTACAATTGGCCAACGATTATTAAAATGTTTGATAAAATGTAATTAATTTAAGTTACAAACCGTAACAGTATGTTAATTAAATAAAGCTACTGTCAATTCCTTAAAAATGAATTATATCTTAAAAACTATTTCTATAAATCAAAGAGTAGGCATATTTTTTATAACATTCATTCGATAATAACTTATTTCGGTCACTAAATTATAGTTGATTTTTATTCGGATGTATACGTGTACAATTCAAAAAAATATAATTTAAATATTGGCTAAAAACAATTTATGGCGATCGTGAATAAAATATTTACTTTTGAAATAATTTGTTTTAACAACGTTATTTGTCACTGGCCAAAAAAATCGGGAAAAAATTAGTATAAAAGATCTAGTAAACTAAAAATTCATTGGGACTTTTAGTCTAACCTGCGAACAAAGAACATATAAGCTCTTGTGGAAGCCATCTAGTCTATAAGTCTCAGTCGCGTCGAAATCAAATTTCAAAAATCTTGAAAACAACGCGACATTCGCAAGTCGAACATATTGACTATTTCCAAAAATAGCCGTCGAATTCACTTGCAATAATTATGGCACTGTTAGAANACCTGCAATAATTATGGCACTGTTAGAGAGAGGAGATCGGATCGTCATAAGATATTATGACTACTTGCAAAATTTAACCGTTATCAAAGTAAATGACAAGAATCGTGAACAGCCCGTTGAGTATCGCGTTAAACTTCAAGGAATAAGTGGAGAATTTTTTGACACGTCCTCGATGAATATCCTTACCAATGTCATCAAAAAGAAAGAAATATTTAACATCGTAAGTGAAAAAAAAATATGTGTACATAGCATAGATATTTATACTTATATTTTTAAAGGCACTCATTGACAAAAATGAACTCGTATTAACACGTTCAACATCTAAACAATGTCTCAACACTCAGATTTGGAATGCTGAGAATTTGAAACCCAAAAACGTCGGCAATAAATATGAGAAGACTTATGCAAAGAAGAACGCATATAAACCTGGACTTAAGCCGAACAATTACGCAACATATAATGCCAAACGTTATACGGCCCAAGATAGACTTATGAAATACCGTAAAACTGAGGAGCTACAAATCGTTCATCAAACAAATAAATTCAAACAGCCCGAAAATAGACAACTGTACAACACCGATAATACACGTTATTCAGCTCAAGACCGACTTAAAAAATACAAGAACATCGTTACTTCAAAAGAACCGCAGCTTAAACAATATGACATTAAGACCACAGATATGAACCGATTTGAAATTGAAGAAAAATGTTGCAAAGAACAAAATCTCAGCACTGACATAACAGAAGACCCATGTACTAAGAAACGTACATTAAAACTAGGCGAGACGCAAAAAGTTAGTTATTTATTTTTATCATACAAACAATCTTTTATTACAATAATCTTTCCACAGATAATGATAGTTCAAAAACGAACGAAGACATGTTATCTGGTACACACGATGGAGAGTAGAAAGTCGGTAATCACCTTGTGTGATAAACTACGAAAAATTGAAAATAACTTAAAACGTATCGAGAAAGTTGAGAAGTACGACATGTGCTTGATATTTTTTGGCGCTGAATGGTACCGTGGGAAAATTATGGACGAGACGAACGATGGTATGTTGAAAATTTACTTGATTGACACAGCACAAGTGATGTTCTTTAATCGAAAAGAAGTCTACGAGATGCCAAAGCATTTCGAAGGAGAGTCATTATTAATTGAAATCGTCGTAACACCTCCGCCAAATGAAATGCTGACTACTGTTTTTGCTAACGTAGAAGCAATAAAAACTATTGGACCGAGTACGGTGGTGAAACTGATTTAATAACTTGCTATATTGCCTTATAACTCCTATTAATTTGCATTCGACAATCAACGAATATTCCCTACANTTGCCTTATAACTCCTATTAATTTGCATTCGACAGTCAACGAATATTCCCTACAGAAGTTTACATGCTGACAATGATGTCTTTTTCCATTAAAAATACTCTTGTTTATTTATTATGAACTATTTTGCATTTTCATCCGACTTCTTTATTTATTGTTTATATATTTGTTATATTTATATGTTTGTTGTTACATTATTTAATTTTTCGTTTTTTTGCTATATTGTTAAATTTTTTTGTTCAATTTTCTGTTTAATTTAAATAAAGCTGTTCGACACTTATAAAACATTGTTATCATTTAATTTTAACTTACTTATTTTGTACATCAATTAGTTAATACAATTTCGATTGTAAATTTGCCAAAAATTGCAGATCACTAGTTAATAATAGAGTATATGAAAATAATTTTACTCATATAGTTAATATATCTATGATTATATGTCTACAATGACTACTATTAATACTATGATGAGTTATAAATACAAATACATTTTATTAAGAAATCGCCAATATCTCAATACATGAAAACTTAGATGTTACCGTCTTGATAGTCTACTAACTTGCAATCCGACTTAACCTGTTAATTACATGGCTTATAATACCTAATCAGAACAAATCTACACATACAACTTTTATTTATAATTTTTCTATCCNCTGTTAATCACATGGCGTATAAAACCTAATTAGAACAAATCTGCACACATAACTTTTATTTATAATATTTTCTATCTACTGGACTTAATACATTATTAACATAAATTGTGTAGTCATGCAATAAAACAAAGTGACACTAACCACATTGTCATATTTTGAATCCGAAAAAAATCATTAGTCAATTTAAGTATAAAAAATATTTATAAAAATATATGGAATATTAAAATAGGATATTATTATTTAACTAACAATTTAATATTACAAAAATAATAATTTTAAAGCATACATATATAAAAAAAATAAGTACAGTATAATTTCGATTAGCCGTCCCCATCGAGACCATGACTGTGACGGTTAACTGAATAGAAGATTAACAGAAATTTTGTAACAAACATATAAAAGACATTATAAATAAAACAAATTTAAAATTTTTTTACTAAAATATTCCAACNATAAATAAAACAAATTTATATTTTTTATACTAAAATATTCCAATAGTTTCAATATAAAGTATATTCATTTAAATTATAAAAAATAATCAATCATTTTTTTTGGTTTTTTCCAGGATTTTAAAACGACAATGTTGCGTATTTTACGTATTTTCGTGGTATGTAAATATATGGTAAATTGGAGAATTCTTAATTAAAAATAATTTTTTCAATAAAGAGTATTCAGTGTTTTTGTAATTTATAATATATTTTAGAATATATGATTATTTATACATATAAAAAAAAATGACAATGCAAAATATGAATATTTTAAGTCGTTGAACATCAACTTTGATTCTTTGAATTTTGAAATAATATATTATATTACAATATAATACAAGGAAACTATTTTGTTATAAATGCTACTCGTCTATCAATACCGTTCATAAAGAATTCATTATTATTCGAGAACGAATTGGATATACCTTTCCGACATATTGATGCCTTTTTTTAAAAAATGTATAATCAATTTGTGATAAACTTTTACTATACAACATATCATCTGACTGCTCAAAATACTCTAATGCCGTAATGTAGAAGGAAACCAACTTTTCAATAGAAATAACCAGAGGCAAAGCCGGAGCGCCTTGGATTGGTACCTTATCCTAGGGATAAAGTTTATAAAAATAATTTCAATTTAAGATAACAATGATTAAAAATTATTTTTAGTTCATTTTTTTTAATTATCGAAAAAAAATAAAATTTATTGGATAATTAAATCATACTAATAAACAAAATATATAGACTTGAATTAACAAAAGTATGTCCAATAAAAATACTAATAAAAACTAAATAATGGTCAAGGATGCCAAAAGAAAATATGAGTAGGAGGTCTAAGATAATACATATGAATTCATAAGTCATAATAGAAACAGAAACGTGTAAATTAAGACAGATCCAATTAATATGATATCAGCCTAACAAATTATCTTTTATTTACAAACAGCATTTTGCACACATAAAGTTAAAGCAGTGAATGGTGATTTATAGCAATTGTATAGAATTAATTGTCTATAGACAGACTAGCATCAGAACGGCCTTTGTATTTTGTGAGTTCAATAACTACACTTGGTCGATGTAGTTTAAACATAATGCTCACATAGGCAGTATTTAAGAGTTCAATTCAGAACAAATTCACATATCAGATATTAACTGAATCAAATCATTTAAATAAAATAAATAACATTTATACATAATATTAAATAATTAATTTAATAATGTACCAACAGAAAAAAATAGGAGTGTAACGTGGACATGACAGATTCATCGCACGTGTCAGGGTAAAATGGACATGTCACCAATATTAATGAGTATCCTCTACATAAATGTAGAGGACCCATTAAGATGTTCACCATATCTACCCTGACCACACCCGAGGACCTGTCAGCTCACGGAAAATAATTTTTTTTTCCTTTTACAATTACTATACTNAAAATCATTTTTTTTCCTTTTACAATTACTATACTTAAATATAAAAAGTAATTATAATGGTATGCTATATTTATGTTTAGTTCTTGAAGGTCATCTACAAATGAGTTAACCCCAAATTCTTTAAAGGTAAAAAATCTCGTTGTTTTTGGTCTATTATTAACTACACTGAAAAAAATCCTCCGGTAAAATTAATAATTATCAAAATACATCTGTGGCAGGCACATGGACATGGTTGGGCCTGGCTCCCCTTAGATTTAATGTGGCCCAGAGCCGGCCCCCCCCAAATTTAAAACTCAATTATTTTTACGAATTATCAAAAACGTGCTAGGCCTTATATACATTGAAATTATTATTAATTTGTGATTACTATTGAGTAATACAGTTATTATTATGGCTGTATTTTCACTTTTATATTCATAGAAAACGTTATTTGAAAAAGATAACGTTCTAGACGTAATAATAAATAGAATAGCAGTTACTCTAAACGTGGTTGAAGGTAAATTTTTTTTAACTCCAAAAAATGATAACAAACTACCAAGTATCTGCATTGATTAGAATGTAGTTGATTACAAAATTCGATAGAGTATACTCTATGAAAATTTTTTTGATAAATCTTATCTTTAATTTGTTTCTTATTTTATAATTTAGTAGTTACAATAGGTAATTTATTTGTTTTTGTTAATTTCTTATTTGCGTGCTCTAAATAATGGTAATAAAAATATGACTAAAAAAAGCAGGAATTGTTTTTAATTTTAAATAAAATAAATTTTACATTGTTTATAATTTATATTTATTTTAAAAATTTGTATAACTTATTTGTTATTAGTATTAAGGTATAAATTATTTTTTCTTAATAGCTTAAAAGTTGAAAAATTAAATCAGCTTGGTTTTATGGTTTTACTATGATGTGTTTTTTTATTTTTTTTTTATGTCTGTTACCACATTTCTCAGTCTCACCGAACCGATTTCTTTAAATGATACGTCAAAAGATCACAAATCGTATGTAGTCGAAGACATTACCCTCAAAAATTGAAAAAATTTCCCTCGTTCCCCGTCAATGAGGGAAACTCCCCAAAAAATTACAAATTTAAAAATCGCTAATTTTTTCAATTTTTTTTTACTTAAAATTGCTATAACTTTTTTATATAGATGCAAGATATCGTTACTTCTCATTTGATATATTTTTTTATAAATCTGATACTTTACCTGCCCAGGGAGGGGATTTAAAATGACAAATTTTTCACGAAAAATTAACTATTTCCACTTAAATTTTTAAAATGTCCCGGAAAGTCTGACACTTTTATATATATCTTAAATTAAAGATAATGTAATGTACTTTTTTATTTAAAAAAATTTCGAACTTTATTTTGTCTTAACGGGGAAAATGGCAACCAAATGCTATTTTTGTGTGAAAATTCTCGATTTTGTATTCTACATTTTTAACTTCATAATGTAATAACTTTTTGAAAAATGTATGGATAAACACAATTTTTTATGAGAAATAATATTTTATAATAATCTCTTTTTCATTCGACATATACTTTATCTTAATCAGGATATTAATAAAGAACTAGCAGATCATGTAGCTTTTGGAGTAATCAACCAATTTTTTAAAATTAAACACTATCTAAAGATTTGGATCGAACTTTTTTTTTTTTATATTGGTTTTAATCACTGTCAGATATCATTATACTTGATCCAACAATGCTACGTCACCACTGTGCCGCGAACCCCCTGTGCTGGGTTTTTTTGTAATTAAAACTGCCATAACTTATTGAAATGTTAACAAATCAAAATAGTATATTTATATATTGAAACCTTAGGTATTTTTCTTTCATTTGATAGAATTTTTTTTTTAAATTTAATCCTTTAATCGTCCACAGGGGAGTAAGTAAAATAGTATAATATTAATATAATTAATAATATAAAGCTATATTTAGATAAGTGGTGATGTATATAAAAAATCAGAGGAAAAATGGATCAAATACGAGCCCTTAACCCAAAAGAAAACAAATTTATGTGTTTATTTATTCACAGATTTATTGTTTTTTCTATCTGTTCGTAAAGTTGTTAACCTCCGTGTTGCACCATGATACTCCTAAATTAACGGTTGGCGTCAATATCTTATAAGGATCATGTGGACCGATAATACTTAACCTAAAATAAAGTACATAACCTTTAAATGATTAGTTTATACATTTAAATGATGTTGTGGCCTTATGAGCTAAGGGATACAATAAATACTCTCTCTGGTGTTTGGGTATTGAATGATGCTATAGCTGATCTGCCTCCTTCATAAATCACATGAGCTGTACATTGACTTGGTTATCTGAGCTGATATTCTCCATTTCATTGAATCCTCTGCATAGGACAGCAGTGCATTAAAACTGTAGGATAATATTTA